AAAGTACATTTTCAAGGACAGATTAAAGAAGAACCTGTTCAGGGACTCAAGTATATTTACTAGTACAAAAACTTATAGCTTTGGAAAAAAGGGGCTTTATGAAAGAGACACAGTCATCAGAGTGTATAATGATATTTCTGTTCTGTGTGTTCGGATGCAAAAAAATTTCTAGTGCTTTGATTCCCACTCTCCCGTTTCAGCATGTACTGGTTCGTTAGTAACTAGCATAAATGTTATTTCTTGTCTAGAAGATAAATATATTCCTTAGAACAGCGGTGTCCAGCCTTTTGGCTTCTCTGGTCTGCGCTGGGTGAAGAATTGTCTTGGGCCACATTTAAAATACATAGGTTACACCAAAACTAGCGCCTCCTTTTACATCCATGGAAATGACAACAGCTACAAAGAGCACAATTACCCTGTTTGGTAGGGCACATTATCAGATACTTGTCAACACAGTCACCGCTATTACCTATGCATTTTTGCAGCAGTGATCAAGAGCCCGCGTGCCTCGCACATAAAAATCTGCACTAGTGGAGGTGACCTGCTGTTGCTACTACTGAAACACATCACCCACTGACTCACTGCATTTGCATCCACTGTTTGGTCTCCAGAAATGTTCAGCAAGTGTCAACAAATGTCAATGGTCACATTTTTTCTGCATGGAGTAATTTAATTGCACATTGTTGCTTTATATGCACTTCCATGTCGGACTCCATTCTGTCAGACTGTCTCTTTGTTGCTATCTGTCACATGGCAATAAAGCTTAACAGAATACTGGTGAAAATGGTCAGTCTCTACTTTCATTCCACCAATATCTGCCTCTGACTCAGTGGGCCAACATATTACAATGGGAGGCATTACTTTCAGAGCAGCCCTTGTATATAATATAGTTAATGTAGATAAGCAACAAAACTTACTTTTTATTTTTATTAAAACATAAAGAGAGAGCAACGAAGACATGAAACTAGTGGGCTACTTGATCTTGTTTTTGTCAACCTAACGTGTCAATGTCTGGTTCAAAGTGGATGCAATTCTGAGTGAGTTCTCAAGGTGCTCCTCAAAGAATTTTGATGAAATTTTCCTCTTCCTGTACTTCACCCTTGAAAACGGTTGTTCATAAATGTAGGTAGTGCCAAAAGCAATGACAGTAATAAGATGCGACTCTGAATTAAGGGATGTTTTTCTCTGGTAAGATAGGTTTTATGAAAATCTGGTAAAGAGACACAATCCAATTTTTTGGTTGAATATCCGATTGTAGCTATACATTTCAGAATGTCACACAATTCATTTCAGAATTTGCACAAAATGTATTTATATTAACTGAAAAGGAGTTGCAAATACACAAAAAGCCAAGATGTTTCCATCAATCCTGAAAGCTATTCTCAGATTCCCGTATCAAAATGCACAAGGCTGCATATTTTTCTTTGTTCACTGATCTGTGTTTAGTCAGTGTATCAAAATGCATAAAGTTATTTGCCATAACTTAACGCTGCTCCGCACTCTCCCCACATCCTGGTTTCAGCCCAAGGCAGTGCCAATCTCACCCTGATGTTTGGTTGTGACTGAGTCATTAATCTGCACCCAGGTCCTGGCTGGTCCACTCAGTGGGGAAAAGCCGCCCCTGTAAATGGTGTGGAGCAGGAGGTGGCCACAGTGAGGGTGTGAGAACCACCTCTGTGAAATTGCTCACTTCATTTCTGATGCAAAGTTAACACTATAAAGATTTGCCAACATTTTTTTTTTCCAGGAGAGCAAAAATTATCAATGCCACATCCCTCTTAGTAAAACCCAAAATGTGACTGGAGTTGTGCTAATACATTGGATACATTGGGTTCTTGTTTATTTCATCAACCTGCTTGTACTGCAAATTGCTGATTAGAACACCCCTCCTGTGGGCATATTTCTATTTGGATGCTCATCTGTATAAGACAATTATGGATTTTCAACTTGTGTTTTTAAAAGTGTATGGCAAACAGTGGAAACTGAAACACAGGATTGCATTTCCAAATGAATAGAGAGCTTGTTATTTATGATTCTGTGCTAGCTTAATTTTACTTGCAAAAAGATTTTTTTGTTTTTTTTGTTTTTGTTTTTGTTGTTTTTGTTTTTGTTTTTGTTTTTGTTTTACACTTAAGAATGTGTAGTTGACCTACATTTCAACTGGATGTGTTAACTTCTTTCATGTCAGCATTTTCACATCCACATTAAAGAAGCTACGGGGAAAGAAGTTGCTACCCTCCCTCTTTCCTGTAGTTTCCAGCTTTAAGGAGGGGCATAGGCAGACCTGTGATAAATCTCTATGGCTCACCCATTTAAAGGATAGATAAAAAGCAATTTAAAACATAACATTCTCCAGATTTCCTTTCCAAAGTTTTCGTTTCAGATGTATTCTTTAATAAAACTGAAACTTGTGTTCAGATGAACATTTTGGATACTCTGTTTGTGGAGTCAAAAATTAGGTTTAAGTCTGCTTGTATCTGCATTATATCTCTTATATGATAGAATGAAGATACCTAACTCATCTTTCTCTTTTTTCGTCCCACTAGTTAACGGTCTAATGATGCTTGGATTAGCAGGTGAGCTTTACTTCTAAAATCCAGACTTACAAATTTCTGTCTTGTTAATGCTAGCCATTTGAGAAGCGCTTTCAGTCTGTCTCATTTAAAAACTATCCAACTTTCCTGCTGTTTTTTTTTTTCAGAATTGATTTTTTCCACTGTGTGAACATAGAGTGTTTTAGTATTTTGTAAATGTCAATTGCAATAGAAACAGTAAAATTGTAGAGCTGTGCATAATTTTGAACTCCCTTTATTTAGATTTAGATAGTAACATGATGACACACTAGTTTCTATCAGATGTCTCTATCAGAGTTTCTTTTACAACACTGTAAAATACTGAAGTTCTAAAAAGAAACAACAAAATAAACCAAGGCCACAGAAAATCCATTTTAAGCACCTCACTGGGAAACAGCTGGAACAAATTTTCAGTGCAAATTACATAACGGAGAAGAACTTTGTATTCTGTTGCACTATAAATCAAGTGATAGTTGGCAGTTTAGATTACCCTGCCTGAGAAGTCCAATTTGCCTAACTTTTGTCTAAACATCAGTGTGAAATTTAAACTGACAGATCTACAACTTGTATATCTGGTTTTGGATTCTGCCCAGCTTTAATATTCATCTACACATCTAGTTTTGGAAAAGTATATCTTGTAACTGCTGCAAAATTACACTGCCCTTATTTAATAATTTTCACCATTTTTGTCAATGGTGATTAATTCTAGTTCTGATTTATTTTCATTTTTTCCCCTGACCTTGGCAAGGGTTTAGCGTCACCCATCAGAGCACTGCCTTTGAGTATAATGGTCAGATGTAAGGGGTTTATTCAGTTGGTCTCAATTAGTTGCACACACAGAGAAGTTTGTGGCCAGTATGAGATAATGGGGCTAGATGTAGCATGGACTATACAGTTATGGGCCTACTGCTGTTTGAAAGCATGTTTTCATGCTTCCAATAGATGCGATAGCTGTCTCACTTGATATATGGCATTAGTGAGTTGGTGACGGCCCTAGCTGAAGTCATTGGCCTGAACAGATGGAAGTCAGAAGGTGACAAATCCAGAATATACAAAGAGTGTGGTGGGACAAACCAGCCAAGACTGACGATGTGCTCCACAGTCTTCAAACTGTAGAAAGGTTATCTTCTTCACTGGCCTGATGCTGGTACTGCAAATCTCTAGCTTAGTCAGCACTGTGATGCAGCAGCCAGAGCTCACCTGGTTTGTCCGGGTTCCAGGATATGCAGAAGGATCATCCCCTTCCTATGCCACATGACAGCACACATCATTTTACCACCTGGGAGCTGTGTCTTGAACTTTTTGTTTGATAGGGAGTTCACATTGTCACTCCATGTACTGCTGTTTTGACTCTGGCTTGTAGTGGCTTATCTTTCATTGTGCTGTCGTCACTGTGGAAGCGTAGCACTCACCACCTCACTGTGCTGGTATTACTGTTTGGTCAGCATAAATGTTCAGCAAGTGTCAAAGAATGTCAGTGGGTGCAATTTTTTCTGCATGGAGGAATTCTATTCCACTCCTTTGCTTCAGACATCAGCTTGTCACACTGCTGCTCTGCTTCTGTCTGTTACGTGGCAACAAAATGTAATGGAATATTGGCCAGAAGCTCAACCTCTGCTTCCGTGACACCAATATCTGCCTCTGATGTTAGAGACCAACAGAATAAAACAGGAAACTTTCAGCATAGCCCTTGTGTTTCATTTGATGGCTATACTAACGAAAAATCTTATTAGCAACTATGAGATTCCAGTCAGAGCTAATCAGATGCTTCTTGCAAATGTTTCTAGTTCAGTGGGACGCATCTGTATAAGCTTAGAAAGTACTTTCTACACTATGAATAAACTCCAATTAGCTTTAAATTATAAATGCAGATGGGTTGCAGTAAGTTAGTAAAAGGAAAAGTTAAGATTTCAAAAGTATCTAGGCAGATTTCTCTGTATTAGATCTAATGGATAACAAGTTAGATAGTCATGTGCTGAGTGACATTTTATATAAATTTATGTAAATGCATATTTTATGTAAAATTGTTTAGAAATTTGAATGTTATGTCTACAACATTAATTGTCAAGCAGGAGGAGTTTGCAAATTATGCATTTATGGATCTTCTGTTTCAATACTTGATTTTATCTAGGTGTGCATCAACAGATTAATCTCTGCAATGAGTCTCTCATGTTAGAAAAGTTGCCTGTCTGTGGAAAGTTCTTTGAAGGGATGATGAAGAAAGTGGACTCCAGAAAATGGTGCAACCTGACAGAATTTATCATGTAAGTGTTAGTTTTGGTTTTGATACCTGTCACTGTAAAATAGTGATTGTTCTGAAAAAAAAGCACCTGACAACTTCAAATATCTTGAAAACACCAACTAAAAATGTGTGTGTTCTTTAGAACATAATAGGTTGAACATCTCTATTTTATGTCTCAAATATCACTGGCTAGGTTTGCTAACATAGGAACATACGAATTTCCTTATGATCACGAGGAAATACTTATTTACTCTGAGGGTGACAGAATGCTGAAACAAACTGCTCAGAGAGTCTGTAGAGTCTCCTCCTCCAGAGATATTCAAAACCCACCTGGACAACTTCCTGTGTAACTTACTCTATAAAAATTCTTCAGCGGGGGGGTGGGACTGGATGATCTCCAAAGGTCCTTTCCAACCTCTATGAGTCTGTGATATGGTGACATTTTGGCAATCTTGAGGAAAAAGTTCTTATTTATTTTACTTAAAATATCTTAAAATCAGTGAAAGAAGATTTTGCTTTAGCCTTTCACCTGCCTTTGTATTATCATTCAATTATGACACCAGTGAAAATTCATGATAGTACTTCATGAAAGAATAATTCCAATAAAACTTAATTCCAATAAAACTTTTTTTTTTTTTTTTTTTTTTAATTTAATTAAAAAAAAATTTTTTTTTTTTTTTTTTTTTTTTTTTTCCCCATTTCACAACACTTTTGTTTAGTGCTAGATGTCTTTTTCACCATATGGAAGGATTTACTATTGTGCCTAATGAATATAAAGCATTTGTGTTCCAGATAAATTGCAATCTTTCTGTATTTGTTTTGAAGTTGCAAAGTGCAAAGCTATAGCTCTTAAGTCTCCTCAGTATGGTCACGTGCACACGTTGCACCAAGCAATTTTATAAATGTGCATAATAGAGCACACTAATGAATACTAACCAGAGTATTAACAAGTATTAATCAACAATGGTATTGCTTTTACCTCAGACTGTTTTTTATATTATAATCTGTAAAAAATATATATAATAGAACATAATAATAATAAGTAATAATAAGATCAACTCAGAAGGAAAAAAAATGGATTTTCTTGCTTTAAGCTACATGTAGTATTAGTTATGTGGTAATCTGCTGATGGCATGAGAAATATGAATTATTAGTACCTGTTTTTTGTTCTGTATTTAAGATCTTCGTTCAGCAACAGAACTTTATTATATAATGATACTTTAAAAAAAGGACTAAGCACAGTTAATTGATGAGGCTCTGGCATTTCTGTTTACCCTTGTTGGAAAGTAGTACTTGTACAAGAAATGTGGGGTTCATAGAATCATGGGATGGTCAGGGTTGGAAGGCATCTTTAAGGTCATCTAGTTCCAGCCCCCCGCTACAGGCGGGGATATCTCACTGGACCAGATCACTAACAGCCGCATCAAACTTGGCCTTGAGTGCTTTCAGGGCATCCACAGCCACACTGGCAACATGTTCCAGTGTCTCACCACCCTGACGGTAAGAATTTCTTCCTGATATCTAGTCAAAATCTACTCTCTTATAGTTTATAGCCATTTCCCATTGTCCTGTCACTACATGTCCTTATCTAAAGTCTGTCCCCAGCTTTCCCGCAGGCCATTTTCTGGTACTGGAAGGCTGCTATGAGGTCCCACCGGAGCCTTCTGTTCCCCAGGCTGAAGAGGTCCAAATCTCTCATTCTGTCCCTGTGGATGAGGTGCTCAAGCCCTCAGGAGCCCTTAGGAGAAACCCTCCTAAAATATACAGTATCATTAATATGTAAATATAAAAACATTTTAATTGAAAATATTTTTCTTAAAATATTTTTTTAGAAAAAAGAGAGAGGAACAAAAAACATTAATCTAGTGAGAAATTTCATCTTGTTTTTGTGAAACTAACACATCGGTCTGGTTTGACAGCAATAGCTGCAATTCTTAGTGAGCTCTCAAGGTGCTCATTAGAGAATTTTGATGACATTTTACTCTTCTTATACTTTATCCTTGACAGTGGTATAAAATATACATACTGCCAAAAAATGATGACATGAGTAAGGTGTGACTGTGAAGAGAGGATATTTTTCTCTGTAAAGACAGGGATTATGGAAGTCCAGATTTTTTATTTGAATTGCAACTCTATATTCCATTTGCAAATTTGCAGGTCATGTATTTATATCAGGTGAAAATGGTCTTGAAAGTGTAAATTGATAATTTTTTTAAGGCAGTCTTGAAACTCCAAGTTGTGGGGTGCACTTTATATGCCCAATGGACAAGATGTCATCCAGAGAGACCTAGACAGGCTCGAGCAGTGAGCCCAAGAGAACCTGAGATTCAACAGATCTGAGTGCAAGGTCTTGCACCTGGGTTGAGGCAACCTCCACAACCGACACAAGCTGGAGGATGAAATGATTGAGCACAGCCCTGCCGAAAAGGACTTGGGAGTACTGGTGGATTGCAAACTGGACATGAGCCAGTAAGGTGACCTTGCAGCCCAGAAAGCCAACCGCACCCTGAGCTTCATCATAAAAAGCATGGCCAGCAGGTCAAGGAAGGTGATCCTGCCCCTCTATTCTGCACTGCTGAGACCTCACCTGAAGTTCTGCGTACAGATGTGGAGTCCTTAGAATAGGAGAAATATGGATCTTTTGGAGCACATCCAGATGAGGGATGTGCACAAAAATGATCCCAGGGATGGAACACCTCTCCTTTGAGGACAGGTTGAGAAAGCTGGGGCTGTTCAGCCTGAAGAAGAAAAGGCTCTGGGGAGATCTGATAGCAGCCTTCCAGTATCTAAAGAGGAGCTGTAAGAAAGAAGGGGACAGACTCTTTATCAAGGTCTTGGTGATAGGACAGCGGGAAATGGTTTCAAACTTAGCAGAGATTTAGTTTGGGTATAAGGAATTCTTTTACAGTGAGGGTGGTGAGGTGCAGGAACAGGTTGCCCAGAGATGTGGTGGAAGCCCTGTCCCTGGAGACATTCAAGGTCAGTTGGGCCAGGCTCCGAGCATCCTGCTCCAGCAGTGGATGTCCCTGTTCTTTGCCGGGGAGTTGGACCAGATAGACTGTCAAAAGTCCCTTCCAACACTAAGAATTCTATGATTCTACTTTCAAGTTCTTCTATGAAATCAGAAATCACGGCTGCATATTCTTCGCTGTTCAGCGCCTTGTCTTCAGCCAATATATCAAAATGTACACGATTATTTGCCACCACTTGAGTCAACACTGCACAGTACTGCCCTCATGCTCGGGTTTCTGTTAACACAGTGTTAATAATGCACCAATCTGGCTGTTGCTGAGAGATGGATTTGTGCCCTGGGCTGCTCCGTGGGGAAGAACTGCCACCTTTAAATCCAGGGAAGGAGGTCGGCCACATTGCAAGTCGTGCTGGACTGATTGTGGCCTGAGGGCCATGGGTTGGACACGCCTGACGTAGGCCATTTTCCATGAAGGCTTTTTTATTTGCATTCCCACTAGAATACCATTATTTACCTTTATTTGTTTTTGGAGTTAACTGTTTAGTTAGCAATGAGGAATCCTGTTCTAGGTCTGTGGCTTAAATATCATGTTGTTTTTCCTGCTTTTGAATTGGAGGGTTAGGATTTTTCAGTGTGTTTAGTGTTTTGGCTAGAAGAAGAACTCTGTTCCTACGGAACACAACATTTAATTAGACCGAAGTTTAGCAGAACATTACTGTGGCTTAATAGTGACCACTCTCACATTACTTTACTAGTAAAGCAGCTAATGGCCACACTTATCCAGATATGAAGAAGATGACTTGATTCAGGGCTCCTGGCAAGCTGTAAAATCCTGCTGCTCATACAGGTTTCTGTCTTCCAAGCTGCAACCATGCATCATTCTATAACTTAAAACTGACAGCATGGTATGTTTTTCTAAAAGCAAAACTTCTTCTGCATTGTGGAGATAAAAATAAAAAAACAAATAAACAAACAGACAAGCAGAAAAAAAAGAAAACACCCAATAGCACTTGAGAGTAGAAAACAGTACCAATTAGTAACGCCCACCTCAACAGTACTTTGTATAACATTAGGATGGACAGGCTTGTGAGACAGACCTTGTAAGAAGTCTGACATGTTTTGAAAATACCAATAAACCCTCCTATCCATGAGCAAAATGTGCTTTGATGTACAAAACCTGCTTTTTGTTTGTCAAGAACCATGTTCAGTTTTTTCAGTACATAGAGAGGTGGCCAGTGGTCACAGATGGATTGGTGGAGACAAGACTCTATAGGTGACTGCAAGCCTGGTGCCAAAAAAATTGTATTTAAATCTGAAATTTGTGTCCTGAGTTTACTCCGAAAGATGAGCTTCCTTAGGACACGAAAATACTATTGGCCTCTTAAGAACATTCCCAATTCCATTTAACAAACACTTGAGATTTCTTCTTTTTTGTTTTTTGTGACTGAGATGGACTTAAATATCTGGCCTATAGATAAATGGAATTATTTATTTTCTGACTCATTCTTACCTGCTATCAACGGTCTTTTATTTGATCATCATTTTAATGAGAAATTGCAGAAGGGAGAAACAGTAAGCATGAAAATCAAGTTTAAAGTAGTTGCAAAAGCATTATGAATCCTCAAATCTGTCTTAACTCCTCACCTTTATGACTTATTTAAGCATATCTCAAAAAGTATGATTTCAAGTTGACAGGATAAGTAAGTTCATGTGACATAAATTTCATATAATGAGCTCTGCTGGAACTGTGTAAAAATTAAAATTGGCAGAATCACCTGTAGAATCTAAGCAGGGTTTTGATCTCTGGATAAAAATTACAAGCTTGATACATTTTGAGGGAAATGAAGATCAAAGCAAGATAGAGTCTCACATCTGTCTTTTGTCTGATTTCTGGCACTGTGGTACTTGCTATGAAGTGTTCCTGAAGCTTCCTTTGTTGATAACCCGTGATGAGGGCTCTGCTGAAGCTTTTCAGGGAGGGTTCATAAGGCCTGTGTTCTGAGATCTGCATTCATGGAAACGGAGTGAGAGAGGAGGGGCGCATCTATGCA